TCATCTATTTTCCTAATGGCCACATGAGAAAAAAAAATATCTTATGTGTATTTGGTATCAATACACCTCCTCAACATTCCTCACTACTGTACCAGAAAATGGAAATGTTGTCTAGATGGGATTGAAGTCTTTGAAAGGTCTGGATCCCATAATATGTCAATTAACAGAACAAATTCATAAAGCCCCTGGTCCAGATGAGTCCCAGTCACAAAATATCAGGAGACACATATACATAGGAATGCTCCATGAGTATGCCAGAAAGTAGAGTAGAAGAATACTGAACATCTTGTCTTTGCAATCATTTTTTCAGTCCTTTGGGTGGCACATGCTTAGGAACTGATGTTTACAAACTTGTACAAATTCAGCACTGGACACTGAGAATAAATGTGTGGCTTTCATTTTAATCTCTGCTATCCTACTGTCCCTGGAACTTACAGTGATGGCTTGGAAAATACTCCAGGGACAGCTAATGGCAATGGACATACCTCTGGTCAGGCTGTGAATATAAAAAATAACTTTCATCCAAATTAATAAAAGGTTTCACCTACAAAGCTGCCATGGTCTCTGGGGTTCCTCTAGAAAGAATAACCAACATTAACCTACATTCAGGAAAGTGAGAATAGATCCTCTCTCATTATTGATGTTTCTATCTTCCTTCCTCTCTAAAATAAATAAAAATATATATATATGAAAAAAGTGAGAATAAAACCTGTTTAATATGGGTTAATTCCATCCCAATGAAGAAGTTAACAGGACAACAAGGAGAAATTCTCAGTTTCCAATGAAAATCAGGACAAGAGAAATCATCCCAAGTACTAAGTACACAGATGCCAATTTGTGGTATTCCAAAAGTTAATATTAGTATTAAAAATATAGGTATCAGCATGAGAACCTGAATGGTGGGCTACTTCCTTCATGAATATAAAGCAAAATATTCGTCAAATTGTGATGTCAATCATTGCATTATAAATTCGAAACTATTGAGCAGAATCTACACAGGCTTGACAGGCTGATGTGGGACAGGAAGAACTTTACATGCTGTGGTTATAGCACTGCAAAAGGAACGGCAGCTTAGAAGACAAGGTGAAAAATCAGAAAGGAAAAGGAAATAGGAAATGAAAGAAATAAAATTATTTTTCCTGAGTTCAGCCAGCAGTGCAGCCTGGGAAAGGTGTCCTCTCTCCACCAGCAGAGTTCATGCCGATTCTGAATCTTGGGTACAACGTCACTGGTATTGCAATATTCCTCTTAATTATGGAAAACCTATTACACAGTCAGCACTGTCCTGAAGGTAGCTCTGGTCACCTAAATGTGACAACCACAAATTGAACACCCTCAAAAACTTTTCAGCTGAACACATTGGCACAGAAAAGGAAGTAACTTTGATGACATCATTTACAAAACTCGAGAACTATTTTAAAAGATTATTCAAGGATTATTCTCTAATAGAAGAAAATAGTGCGCCTTACAATGTACCCAATATTCCATGGGAAAGTGTACACAAATTAAGTCCATATAATGTACAACAGCTCACAGATCTTTAGGACAGAAACAATCAACCCCATGATTTCACACATACACCAGGAATAAAACACAGCAGCATCAAGTGATATGGGAGTAGAATCACATTAATATTTCCTTCTCAAAAGACTTCAAAATAAATGAGATAACATCCTAAGTAATTGTACATCTGGAAACATCAATTCTTTTGATATATTCAAGTATAAAAACATTACCTAACTACATTTAAAGTTTGGAGTACACTGTATAATAAACATTTTGGTTTAGAGCAATATCTGAAAGGAATTTTGGCTACCTATCTAGTAGCCAATTTAGTGATACTTTAAAATTCATAATCAATTACATACTTGGATAAAGTTTTTACATCTTAAGGCATAAATTCCTTGGAGTTTTATCATGTATATATATTTTTTTAATTAATTTTTTATTACGGTATTACGTATGTGTCCTTATCCCACCATAACCACCCTGAACTCCCCAACTCATGCCCTCACCCCCCTGTTGTCTGTGTCCATTAGTTAGGCTTATATGCATGCATAGAAGTCCTTTGGTTGATCTTTCACCCTTACCCCCACCCTTCCCTACCTTCTCTCTAGGGTTTGACAGTCTAATCGATGCTTCTCTATCTCTGGATCCGTTTTTGTTAATTAGTTTATGTTCATTATATTCCATAAATGAGTGAGATCATGTGATATTTGTCTCTGTAACTTGCTTATTTTAGTTAGCATAATGCTCTCCAGATACATCCATGCTGCACAAATGGTAAGAATTCCTTTTTTTTTACTGCAGTGTAGTATTCCACTGTTTCTAATCCACTCTTCTGATGGGCACTTAGGCTGTTTCCAAATCTTAGCTATGGTGAATTGTCCTGCTATGAACATATATAAACTGTATATATATTTTTTTAATATATTTTTTATTGATTAAGGTATTACATATGTGTCCCTGTCCCCACATCACCCTCCGCCCCCCCCACCCCCGCTG